TTATTATTATTATTATTATTATTATTATTATTATTATTATTATTAAACTTGTTGGTCCTGTGGTTAATGTGACTCAGAGGGGGGATGCCTTTTGATTACGAAGATTTCGAAGAAGTCCGACAAAGACATCAGGAGACAGCAAAGAACCCTGCAAGTTTTAGGACCCGTCCGGGCAAATAAGCGGACATTTAAAAGTACTCTAATGGCCCGTCTTGACCAATGGACGGGAGGCAAGGGGCAACGCTATCGAGCTCGGCGGGAGAAGCCACGCCTCCGTGGGTGCTCCCGGCCAATCACGGGCGTGCAATTTTTGGGAACCCCCGAGCCCTGAGAAAGGAGCGCATGTCCTTATATGGGCGGCATGCTCAAATAAGGAAGGTGTCCCTCGGTGTGCGCGCACGCATGGCTGACCAGTGTCACTTTCCGGAGATTTCTGGTCGCGCAGATCAGTGGTAGATCTGACAGCCAGCGGGTGAAGTGCTCTTGACTTGTAGCCCTTCTTGTTGTGTTTTTTCCTGTCTTCGTGAAATCCATAATAACCCGAGGGACATCACTGGTTTATGGATTTGTTTTTCCTTCTCTTGAAGAGTAAGACGGTCCCTCTTGTCCAGAGAAACCCGCGTTTGAACTGTCATCTTGCGTACATGTGACTGTCCGAGGAACGCTCTCCTGCAGCTTGTGTGCATTAGTTTGAGAAGGAATTTATGTCGGAGCGGCAATTAAGCGTATTGCTAGGCGCTGCCTAGGAACCTCAACAGGCAGCCGTCGTGTTGTTCTCAAGAAAAGGAAAGACCAGAACTGGTTTTTTTTTCAGCCAGCTCGCGTGATTATTGAACTGGACTTGCAGATACGTGGGCTGTTTTCCCTTCGCCGGTCAGTCGACTCCACAGCTCGTTCTCGGACAATGCACGAAAGCGATTTTCACTGACATCTCCTTCTTTTTCAGCGGAAAAAGGGGAACCTCCCGCCTCAGCCCGCAATGTTGCTCTTCTAAAGAAAGGGACAGGAATGGAATCTTCAAATATATCCTCGTCATCACACTTAAGACACGGACAGGGGGCAGAGACGACTGTGCCTATCGTAGGAGAGAACGTAACTATAACACCGCTGTTGTGATCGGAGACGTGTTGTACCGCTGACAAAGTTTTAGAGGGTATCTTTGTGTCTGACTTCGGGATTCTCGCAAGAAAGTCTCACAAGCATATGTAGTCGATTGCCAGGGTATCGATTCCAGACTCCCCTCCCACGATTCGGCCTGGAATCTTCGAACATTGGAAAAGGGCAAAAAAAAAAAGATCGAGTCGATCCCCTCGTATCAATAATAGATCGAGCTTCTTGTCTGGATGAAGCGAGGAGCGCGCGCTGCTGTTTCGAGCCTCCCAGACCCCCGCGCGGTTCGCGAGCTCTTCCCAGTCCGTGTGTGAGTGTGTCCTGTTTAAGATTAAAGCGCGGCATAGCATGGCAATGGTAGTAAACCAGTGGCAAGAAAGCATCTCGGCGGAGCCTGGGACCCAGCTCCAGATATGTAGCCAGGAGCCCGGGGGCACCCCCATCCAGGCGCCCGGGACCCCCTCCGGCTCCACCCCGGGAACCGACGGAGACAAGATCCCCAACGTGGACTGTATGGTGTGCGGGGACAAATCGAGCGGCAAGCATTACGGCCAGTTCACCTGCGAGGGCTGCAAGAGCTTCTTCAAGCGGTCGGTGAGGCGAAACCTGAGCTACACCTGCCGGGGCAACCGCGACTGTCCCATCGACCAGCACCACCGCAACCAGTGCCAGTACTGCCGCCTCAAGAAGTGCCTGAAAGTCGGAATGAGGAGGGAGGGTGAGTCCGGGCTGCGCGGTGGGTCACCAGTTCAGTCGCCTAAATCCATCCCGCTCTGCTCCTACTGCCGCTGCTACATCGACTTAGCTGACAAACACAAAACGTTAGGGTGGCGTGTTAAGCGTATAGCCCGTAGAAACAATACAGAATACAGTTCATCTGCGCTACGCAGAACTCTACGGGACTAAACCTTAAAATCAAGCATGGGGTTCTGGGGGGAAAAAAAGTTTTTTATGACTGGAGCCACCAGAAAACGTTAAAACAGCATATCCGTATACACTGCACGGTAAATACTGTAGTCAAGCAGCTATAGCTTAAAGATGGGCTATGAAGTTTTGAAGAATGTGACTATGAATCTGGGAGATCAGGTCACGTTCGTCTATTTTCACAGGTTGGTGTATCTGCCGTTTCCACAGAATAAAAATGCTCTTTGTCTGGGCCTCCCCCGAAAAGTTCGAAAAAAGTGTAGTCGTTAAACCTGTCGGAATCCTGTGGTGGGTATATGAGCTACATTTACATTTTTTCCCCCGAAGAAGGAAGGCACACTAGCAGTGCCTGAGCCTTCTCTCGGCGGGCCGCTCAGTCCACAAGAGGGACGTTATCTGCCCCCTTTGTGCTCGTATTAATGATGCGGTTTTCTTCCTCAGCAGCCCGACTTTCCTGTATGTACTGCGAGTGATCACGGGCTGGGCAATTCGTGTGAAAAGATGGGACAGTGCCGACACGTGTGTAGGACGGAGTGGTTAAGTGGCTTAGATTTCCCGGTGTCGCGCTTAACCAGGCCGTTTGCGTCAATTTGAACACCCTCCCGTTTATCTGGACTGTCAAGCGTCTTGCGTTGCAAATTTGCGCGAAAGAACCTTTGCAAATTAAAATCTGTTTTAGTTTGTTACCGACAATCATTTAAAGTGTCTTATCAAGGGCGACGCACATCTATCAGTAGACAGAAAGTTTGTGTATTGTTCACAGAAAGTGTAAAAGGCTATCTAAACCAAGTGTTCAATACAAAAGTATTTTTATACGTTATTGTTGGATATTATCTTGGATATTATGGACACAGATATGCATTGTCATAATTCATGGCTTCTGCATTCTCGTAAGACACTCCACGAACCTGAAAAGAAACCTGTAAGATTGATTCATTAGTTACCCCAGTTCACAGAAGTTAGAAAACGTTCGCGACCCCAAATGACTATTAAACCAGACTGACTCAACAATTAAACAGGGAGCTGATCACACATGCAGTTCTATTTGAAATGGTTAAAGTACCAATTTCATCATAATCCGTCATTCATATCTATCGTGGAACTGCTGCTATGGTGTCTCCTTCTGCAGTTTGTTTCAATCAAACAATACTTGTTTTTATAAGGAAAAAATACATTGGACTATAGCAGAGGCTACGAAGATCTGGAGCTAAAACAGGTTTAACAGTGCCTCACGTAAGAAAAACAAAGTTTACTGAGTGCGCCGGTTCGAGAATCGCTGGTTAGTGTAGCACAGCTCTTGGGGTTAGGGTGTTGAAAACGACCCGTCGTGTGACAACATCGTTGTCCTCCATGCACGCATTGAAAACAGGGTCTTTGACATCAGCATTGTCTTACACGTACTGTATGTAATTACTAGGTTCACCTGATGCTACCACAATCAGAATGGGGCCGCTGGTTTTAGGCAGGAGACATTAATCCATTGAATTTAAACTCATCCCCCCCCAACTAAAGACAGACTAAAATCAACTGCAAAGGATCTACTTCGGCTTCTGAAATTTACCTTTCTGGCTTTGTCGAAACCTTCTTTGTTCCACCACGTATTAAAACCTTATATGCAGTCCTGCTCCCTTAAAATCAACTTGAGATGAGAGCGGAATGAATTTCCGCGGCACATTAAGAGATTTTACCGCCTTAAAGTTACATGTAATCCATAGGTTATGTATCATCACAGTCAAAAAAATCGACTGTACAATGTCAAAAAAAATTACAATACAGTAGCAGATGTCCATCATTTTTTTTTTATCACGGTCATGTCCTTCTCTCATTTTAAAGTATTTTCAGTTGAAACATTCCTGTTCCCCGTGTCTCTGCTGAAGCAGCCTGTAACCGTGCTGATTTTAAAGGCTTACGGAGAGATGGGCCAGAGTTGACCGCAATCTGATTGTTTTAAAAGCCCACATAAAATACTACAGGGCGAATTCGTTCACTCAGGCATTTTATAACTGATTAAACTCGGAACACCTGGCGCATGATACATTTGTGACCTTTAACATAAAACATTGTCAGATCCGTGTTTAAAAAAACTCGATTATTGATTACGAATGTGTAGGCATGTTAAACAAGACAGCAAAACCTACAGATGTTTTAAATACCGGTTACAGGGCAAAACGTACTGTATATGCGTTAATTCCTACACCTGTTCTGACATATTATTTTGCCCTTTCCTTTAAGATGTGTTCCTATGCTAAAAGACACAGTTATTGAAACAACATGGCGACAGGCAAAAACTAAACATTTAGATCAATGTTATGAAACCAACAAACGATTCGTTGCTTAATTAACGTTGCTCGAGAAACAAAGACATGCGGTGCCTTTCACTTGGAGAAACAAGGACATTCGCTGACTGGTGGTGGTGGAGGGGAGTCCCCATTACCTCTAAAGAGCTTTGAATGGAGAGGCCAAAAAAGCGCTCTATAAGTGTAAGGATCGTTATTACTGTTTTCGAACGTATTTTCAATCAGTAACATCACAGCGTGCCAAAGCTGAAGTATGTGTATCCGTTAAGATGCAATTGCAGAGTGAAAATATGTTCTATCTGTTAAATTTAAAGAGATGAGTCTTTTTATTGAGACTCCCTCAAACATCCATTATTGTATTTACAAATTATTAAACCTTTAATAATGGAACTTTTATTCGGAATCGGCCGACACCTACCACCACATTTGATAACAAACACATTAAGAACAGTATTATCATACTTAATAAAATTATCATAATAAAAAAACAGATTGTGACTTAGTTTAAAACTTGAAAGGCTTTTAAAAACAAAGTATTTTTTTAATTTACAGATACAGAAAGTATCCATTTATGAGCTACTGGTTGATCTAGTCTGACATTTGAAGCAATTCATAAAGCCGTCCTACTTAATTTTTCAGCAACCGCGTTATCAGAACAAGCAGATTAATGTAATCTTATTCAGAAAACCCAATGTATCGCGCCAAAAGGCGACTGCCGTTTCAATTCTTCCCCACTCAAGCATCATCCCCGAAAACAAACCCAATTAACCACAGAAAAGCTGGATACATGATAGAATACGATTCTGAAATGTCGAATATTACTGTAAAATGAGCAGTGAAAAAAAAAGTGAACACGTTTTTAAGCTCCAGCGTTATAAACTCTTTTCCCACTTTATTCGTTTGGCTCATGTCGGTTCCCATGAAGCGAAAGGAAACGTTACTGTAACAACTAAACGTTTGCTCCCTGCTTCAGCAGTTTTTTTCTGTAGGCTAAACAAGGTCACGCAGAGAATTCTCTTCACGACGGAAATGTGACGACCGATTTGTCCAGTTATAATGCAAAAGTATTATTTATATACTGACAGTGGAGGAAAGCTACAGATCTAAATTGTGCCGCAAAAACAAAATGCACCATAAATTGGATTATAGTTCATTGTTTTTTTTTAAATGTCGGTGTCTTTTTCAAAATGATGTAGCCTGTGACTTTAACTCGTGATGATGTGCAGTTTTCACAGCCTTTCGGTTGTTTTTTAAGTGGGGCCATTTTCCGTAATGAACGAGATTATCCCAGGGTAGGTTTGTGCTGTTTGAGACGTAATTCAAAACAGTACGTGATTATGTTTCTGTGAAAACGTTAATCATGGACCTATTCTAAGACATCACAGGAACGCGTCCATTTACTCCCATTAGCGTCTAGTAACCTTAGTAGATCCATGATAAAATTAAGCAATTAGTGGATTAGGAGAGCTTAGGTTCTGATCTTAGTTACAGAATAAAGCTTTCAAGAAGCCAGTAATCGGTGCCATACCTATTTTCTTAAAATAAACCTCACATGGGTAATCGTTCAGAAACATTTTAACGCTAAAGAGCCAAATATACGCAATCGTAGCTTATCAGCTTGTTCGAATTCAACCCTGAAGCATGTGACTTTACCGAAAGTCTGCCCAACGCTGTATTCTATATTTGGGCTCATTAAACTAATTAAACTAATCAAGAGACAGAAGCTGGTAGCTGATTTTCCCGGTGAATCCAGTGAATAGGAATTTGTGCGTCACCTTGCATTTGTGTGGATGATACTTAACGCCAAGGAAACGGTAAAAATGGAAGAAAAAGTTCGGTTTGAAATGGACTTTAGAACACGCAGCGAGAGGCACTCCGTGACAGGGTTGGTACATACCCACTAAGCGCACTCGAGAAACCCGAAATACGCGTCAGGCACATGAACCACTCATCTTCAAAAGATCATTCTTACATATTGTTAACAGTCAGAAAAGCACCTTCTCGCATTATGAGACCATGCAAAAAGATCTGAGTCCCATAAATTGAAACGATGTATGGCAGAGGAACTGGATTCGGTGGCATGCGTAGGTTCGCTGTTCTTGGCACTAAATTACTTACATGCCAGTCTCCCTGCGCATTATTAATCCAGCATTGCTTTTGCTACAACATTAAGAATACAGCCCAGAGAGGTCTTGAGGATTGTAATGCCTCATTCGTCCGCTAGTGAGCAGTATGTGGGTAACAGGACGCTGTGGAGGAGTTTGGCAATGGGAAACCAGTCCGCTCCAGTCCTGCAAGAGAGTGGATGTCTCGGAGCAGCGATGTGCTGAGGTAGGTATATATGCACACACCCAAAACAAAATAAAATGGTGGAAAGCCACCTACTGGAAAAACCAGCACAGGATCTACAGATACATCTGCAATCAGTTAAAGTAGGATATAGTCTCTACAGTAGGACTGTCCAGTCTGGGGTCTTCTTGGCTGGTGTGCCTGTAGGTTTTCTCTCTGTAAAGCT